CCATATAAAAGGGAGAATTAGGGTTGTACTGTACACTTTTGGTTTTTCAGATTTTCGTTCAATACAATTCTTCTTTCCTTTCTCTCGTCTCTGTACTTTATCGTTCAATGAATTGATCACTTTATCGATCATATTAGTTATAAACACAAAATTAATGTAACTTCATATACATTTTATTTTCAAAATACAACCATTGAGAAACATAATTATATAAACATCAAATTAACACTTAAAAACTTTATTATCGCCCACAGAGGTTCCAAAACCGGCGTTTTTATATAGTGACGTTGAGCTTTACGAGGGGAGAAGACCGGGTGTTGCACTCCTCACGCAACATTAGATGGCCGGGCCCCCGGAGGCTGACAGGGAACGGATTCCTATGCCTCGAGACTACTTTATTTTTTATTTTTGTACTTTTTGCCGGAGATCAACACACTACAAAAAAACCAGTGTTCGAAAAGTCGGCCGCCTAGGCGCTAGGCGCCGGTACAACGCCTACGATTTGACCAAATCGGCCATAAAAATCGGCCGGGCGGGCTCGGCGGTGCCTAGTCGGGCCTAGGCGGAGCTAGGCAGCCTCGACGGCTATGCGGTTTCGGCGAGACTAGGCGGCTAAGGCAGATTCTAGGCGGCCGAGGCGGGTTCTAGGCAGTTTTTATAATTTTTTTTTTACTAAATGCATTTAGTTTAAATAATAAATCTTATAATTTATTATTCTATAATTTTTTATATTTATCTTATGTTGTGTAATATTTAAAACATAACATGTTGATAATGTGCTTGAAAAAATTACAATGAGAAGAAGTTATATTGTAGTTATGTACTTATTTTGACTTGGAGTTTTTTTTTTATAATATAATATTAATAATATTATTGTGACTTAGGTGTATGAATTTATTAATTATAAGTTATAATTTCATTAGTGAAATTGTAAAAATAAATAAAAATAATATATTTATTATAATTTTTAGGCGCCGCTTAGGCCCCGCTTAGGCCCCGACTAGGCGCTCTAGGCGCTAGGCGCTGGTCGGGCGCCTAGCGACATATAGAACACTGAAAAAAACACTACAATTCCAATGAACGTTGGAAATTTTTGCCGTTGGAAATTCCAATGAACATTCTAACAAACTTAATTTTATGTTAGAAATAAGTGTTGGATAGTTGAAGAATTCCAACGGATTTTTTCCGTCGGAATAGCTGTAGAAATTTATTTCCCTAAGATTTTCCGTTGAATATTTGCTATTCCGTTGGCCGTTTTTCCACCGGATTTTTATACGTAAAAATATCCGTTGGAATAGCTATTCCAACGTAAATATAAAAAATTCCAACGGAAAATTTCCGTTGGAATGTAAGAGTTTTTTTTTGTAGAGAGACGCATAAATTAGCAAACATATAATAGAAAATATCGGATTGGAGCCATTGAAAAAATTAGACGTAGCCTATCACTTTTGCCATCCTTTGAATCCCCATTTTCATCTATGTTCTCGCTTGTTCTATCCTCCTTGATAACGCCATCTCAAGCTTCTATGCTATGGGCCTTTGCAATCAGCTTCACCACACATCGAGGCGAATTCTTGCTAATGTGCTCGACGTTCAAGAAGCTCAACCCCTGGGTGCACTGCAAGTAGTTAAGCATTTGTCATATTATTTTATGTGATGAAAAATATTCAAGGCACATTTTTATTTTTTATATATATAATCAATTTAAAATATGTAAATAAATCCAAAATTAAATAGTGTTTAAATATTTTACAAAATATACACACATATTTTTTTAAAAATTGTTTTTGTATACTAATTAAACAACTTTGATTTAGGAAATGCCAAAACTCAATCCTTTCTGAAATCAATATTTTTCTAATCTGCATTATAAGGAATTTTAGTTAATTATTTAGCATACTCTACATGGAAATATATATTATAATAATTTTATTGTACAAAGAAATAAAAGTAAAGCAAAAAAAAAAAAAAATTATGGTTGCCAATAATATACATATAAATTCTGAATAACAGTTAATATATTTCACTTTTTTTACTATTAGCAAAACTATTTAATGTATCTGATCATCATCTCTTAAATAGAAAATAATATCAATTTGAAGAATAATTTATTTTTTATATATAGATGTAAATGGGATGTTGAAAATATTATTGTAATTAAATATAAATATTTATTAGTGGGGTCTATATTCTCGGTAGAATTATAGTTTTATATTATTAAATTAGTTATATTTCTATAAAAAAATAGGATTTGTGTTCCCAAACAGAGTCATATGGCAATTGATTTCCATAAAAAATGGGTTTTGCATCCCCAATCAATTAAACCATTTGATTCTATATCTTCACAATTAATGCTCAACTATTTTTTAGGCCGAATTATCCAAAAACTAGTACGTACCCCGTGCGATGCACGGACTGTATTTATTTTGGTAAAATTTATAATTGAAGGCTATTAATCAATAAGTTATAATACATAGAACATTTGTTAGGTAATCGTAAAATGATCATCATGAAAAAAAGCATACATTATTAAAAAAACTCTTTGTTTTTTCCATGCAAAATTATTTTTACTTGGTAACCGTAAATCGATATTTACCAAGATTGCTCTCCACTTGGTAATTGTGAATTGCATAGACACCTCATTCCTTCATTTTTTTTGTTAATTTTCGGAATGTTATCACCATGAAATAAAACTATAGTGAAAATATGTAATATTGTGATAGATACTAAAGATGTGATTATCTGGTGAAATTTAATTTTATATCGAGTATAAGGAAAATTGTTACCTTAAAGTTAAAGTATGGATTTTGAGTATATCTTTTTTTTTTTGTGGGTCAATCATTCTCATTTTTTATGCCAAATTCATTCTAAAAATTGAGAACGATTTTGTTTTGTTATGTTTTAACAGAGATTTGGAATTTTGGTTGTATCTTTTGTAAAACATATTTTTAAAAATAATTACATTTAAAAAAAAACAACAACGATATTTTATCATTTGTAGATAAAAAATAACTAAATGAATCGGAGGACATGTAAATCACGGTTTTTCAATGAAAAATATGTTTCATAAAAAAAATGATTAGAAAAGATTCAAAATGATAAAAAGAAAATCGTATATTACAACAAAAAGATGTTTACATGAGTAATGATTAGTGAATCGAAAATTGTGGCAATTTTAGAAAACATGTTACCATGATTGAAATGAAGTCTTTAGAATATTTTATATTTTTAGTTAAGTTGCATATATTGCATAACTATATATGAAAAAAATAAAATATTTAAAGTTCAAATAGGCGATTTATTTATATGTATATAATAAAGTGTACAGTCCAAATA